TTCATCCTCTTCCCCTCCCCTCCAACCCGGCCTCCTGGTCCACAGCCTCTTGGAACTGGGAGGGACACACAGAAACACCTGGAGCTAACTGACCCCTCACGTGGGGAAAGTCAAAGTCTGCGAGGTCCATCTGAGAACGCAGAAAACAGCCATCCTCAGGCAGGCTGCAGAGACCTGAAAGAAAATGCCTTCTCCTCCGGACCCCACCCTTTCCGTTTTGTGCCTGTGCCTGATCTGCCTTCATCAGTTAACATCACTAGTGTTCAAGACGTGAGTAAACGCCTGCCCGAGCAACTTTGAATGGCACAGACAAGCAGCACAGTTGTTTCTGGAGAGCATAATAGGTGTATCCTTCCTTTCATAAATCAGATTTTAAAAAAAGAGACAATAGCAATCTTGTCTCCAGATGAGCTTGTACTTAAAACACTGCTCTGAGCTAAGGTGGGTGTGTCTACTGTGGGATCCCCGTGCCCTTTGTGGGGCCGGGCACCGGGTGGGTGCTCCCGAAATACTGGTTGCAGGAAGGAAGGTAGGATTAAATGACTTTCGTTCAAAAACGTTCAGTAGCTTTTCCATGGTAAGCAAAAAATACCCTAATTCTAGAATCCGGTGTTTAGGACCCTTCAATCAGATGCCATGCCTGTCCAGTTCCCTAAGAGGCTTTCAGCATGCTGACTGCCCTAGAGTAGTCATCAAAATCACCTGGAGGACTTGTTAACACTACCCAGCTGGGTCCATCACTGCCAGAGTTCCTGAATTAATACATTTGGGGTGGGTGGAGAATTTGCTTTCCTTATAAGTTCCCAGATGATACTGGTTGCTGCTGGTTGGACACCATGCTTTGCCTGTACCACTCCATCTCCACAAAGGGCACCCCTTGCCCTGCACTCTACCAGTCAGTCAAGCTCCAACTCCAATGCTACCTTGCCAAAAAACTCAACATGCCAGCAAAACTGTACCTCCACCTCCAGGGCCCCCAGCCCTCAGGTACCCCCTAATGGCTTCAGCTCCCTGTGTTGGCCAAGATGCTTTATCTGTTCAACTCTCTCTCTCAGACTTTGTGGGTCAAAAGGTCCTGCTTCCCTTCATGCATAGCTGCTCCCTCTTCCATTCTGCTTGCCGTGTTTTAGAATCCCACTCACCCTGCAAGACCAGTGGAAACCTCATTCTCCTGCCTTTCCATCCCTGTGGACATGGGACCATTTCTTCTACTCTGTGAGTTCTGCCAGCTCATCACTGACTCCCCACCCTCTCTCTCTGGAGCTCCTCAAAGGCAGAAGCTGGGCTGCTACCTTTACAAACTGTTGGTTAGCTCTGGTTGACTCCATTTGAGGATCTTTGAGGCTAAGACTATAAATGTTGTTTAGCCTCTCTTATAAATGTTATTCTATGTTTCCAGTTGTTAACCTGGATAATTAAGAACTCTCTAGGAGGGGCACCTGGGTGGCTTAGTTGGTTAAGCATCTGCCTTTGGCTCAGGTCATGATCCCAGGGTCCTGGGATCAAGCCCCACATCAGGCTCCCTGCTCAATAGGGAGCCTGCTTCTCCCTCTCCCACTACCCCTGCTTGTGCATCCTCTATCTCTTTGTCAAATAAATCTTAAAAAAAAAACCAAAAACTCTCTAGGAAGGGACCCTTTTCTGTGTATCAACATTGAAAGGAGATAATTCTCACCAAAGGAAATCAAAGGGGCTCCCTTCTCTGGCCCATTCAGCCAAGAATACACATCTTTTGGCATAGCATTTTAGAGGATAGATAATCCAGTTAAGTCGGGATAAGTCAAGGGATTCTCCTTCCAGCTAGAGGATGTCTGCCATCCAGAGATGTCTTCATGGGTTCTAGGACACCACCCAAAGAAGGATTTCTCCTTTCAGACTTTATTTCTAGGACCAGTTCTTGCCTCTTTTTCCTCTAAGAAGAAACAGTCACAACATTCACTAAGAGAAAATGGATCATAGCAGACCCTGGTCACCACCTGATAGTCTCATGTCACACGAGGGCTGGGGCTCCTTGGGTGCCAAGACTCTCCAGGCCTAAGGACAGCCCCTCCAGTGTTCCCACTAGACCGTGCTCTTCATGCAGTCACAGACTTGGCCTCTTCTGCTCACCATTTCATCCCTCCAAGCATGGTGGCTAACCCCTAGGAGGTGCCCAATAAATGTATTTTGAATAAATGAGTAATATTCTATTCTGCAGTGATGCCTCAGGAACTATGGAAATCAGCCAGAGCCACTGGGCCAGACACTGTAATTACAAGCAGCAGGGATCATCCTTTCTTAGGTCCAAAATAATGACCTAAGTTTGTCAAAGACACCTCCAGCTTTTCTTCCTGCCCCTTCCTAAAGGTACTGCTTTTGGTTATGATCAGTGTAAAGCTAACTTTTTAGGAAAATAGTGTCATAAAGTCTTCTGAAATATTCTGCCCTGTGTTTGTTCAATATAAATGTTGTGACTACAGACTTCAAACGGGGGCAAAGACATTTCGGCTGAAGTCAGGTGCCCAGAGCTCACCAGCTCTATAACCCTGCTAAGAGCAGGTAGTTGCTGAGCACTTACTAGGTGCCTGGCCCCTTTAGGCATGATCTCATTTAATCTTCAAGAAAATCTAGTGTAAATAGTGCTATCACCATATCCATTTTCCTTATGGGGAGAGTATGGTTTCCAGAGCGTATGCACCTCATTCTGCGCCACATGGCCACACTGTAATAGGTATTGGAAGCCTCAAACACATCTGCCCGACCTCAGTGCCACTCTGCAGCACTGCAAGTTACTTAGCCTCCCAAGGCTCAGTTTGATGATAAATGGTGATAAAAAAACACTGAGTGACTGTTGCCTAATGGTATCTTGTTCCTCTGGAGGAAAGGTGAAGGTGAAGTTTGATCCTGATGCTCAGACCTCTAGGATGAGAGATTAAGAAGTCAGGTAGGAAGTGGGAATAAGGCCATGCTGGCTTTGAGAGCCACACCCCAGGGAGGACGGAAACTCTCTGCTCCCGTAAAGGATGATCAAACAGAGTGGTAAATGAGTTCAAATAGCCCTTTTCTTCCCTGGCCACATGACCTCTGGTAAGTTATGTAACCTCTTTAAGGCTCAGTTTCCTCACCTCTTAAAAGGGGATAAGAGAGACAAATTTTTTTTTTTTTAAGATTTTACTTATTTATTTATTTAGAGAGGGGGGGAGAGAGTGTGAGCATGCACATGAGTGGGGGGCGGGGCAGCAGAAGAAGGAGAGAGCATCTCAAGCAGACTCATGATAATGATTTGGGGCTCCATCTTATGACCTTGAGATCATGACCTGAGCTGAAATCAAGAGTTGCATGCCTAATTGACTGAGCCACCCAGGTACCTCACAGGACAATTTTTGATAATATGTGTAGAGAGCGTAGTTCAGTTGGTGGCACATAGCAAACATTAGCTCATGTGCAGCCAAATGCTGCGGGAGCTGTCAACACTAGCCACTGTGTGAGGAGTGCGTGAGCAAGTGCAAGGGGGTGGGTGGGGAAATGGTCGCTAGTGCCTGGAAGGAGAAAAACACTCAGGGAAGGAGGGAAGGAGGGAAGGAGGAGCACACCCACCTCAGGGAATTGGGAGGGGGCATTTGGAACCAAAGCCTCACTTGTCTGGCGGAGCCAAGATTTAAAAGGACAATAATACCACATAATAAAGGTGCGTGCTTTTTCCGACAATGAAAACTATTCTTTGTTTGTGGATAAAGAATATCGGGTATTTTTGTTATGCCTTCAAATTCATTATCTCATTAGATCCTCAAAACAACGCCATGAAGCACACTAGAAGAAAACAGTCATGCCCATTTTATAGATAGTGAAACTGAGACTCAGATGAAGTCTCTTGAGGTGAAGCCATTTGATTCAGGTCATGCTGTTAGGAGTGGCCGAATAGAAATAACACTTAGTGCTAGGTTCAGGGTTCCACACCATCTTTCCAGGTAAATCTTTGTGGAGAAAGTAGAAAAAATACAGATACACATCTGTATGTGTATGCCAAGCTTTAAGACTTCAAATTCTTGGGCACTCCTAAGACGTTGTAAATAAGAATCGATGTGTGCGGGAACCCAGGAAGCTCCCCCAGGGGAACTGATGCAGTAAGGCTGGCATGGTGAACTGGCATCTGGAAGCCAGTAGAAGAAATAGTTATGCTTGTTTGTAGTTGTAAAAGGATTCAGACACATGCTGGGCTCCCGCAAGCCTCTGACTGCTCTTGCCAGGACAAATGCCATAGCCCACTAGCTGGGGTTCCACCCATCAACAATGTTGCCATTCCCCGCACACCCCACCCCCCCCCGCCCCATCCACCCTCCAATGGCAACCAGCAAGAATATGTCTCCACCCCCTATTCACAGGCTCACAAACCCCACTTAAACTTTCCTGAGCTTCCCAGACCCTTAGCCTGGTTAACAAGCCCTGCCTGGTCTAACAGCATCATCTGCCCTTCTCTGTTCCCCGGCCCCATGTGTGCCTTCTTTCAGAACTGGGAAGATTCCCTCCTACCCCAGGGCTCTTGCACGTGCTCCTCCTGCCACCTCCCCTTCCCACTGCCCCACCCTTTCCTCTGGTTCACACTGCCTCCTTCTGCCCTTAGCATTATTTCTTCAAGAAAGTCTTTCTCAACTCCCAGTCTAGGGCAGATTCTTTGTTATAACTTCTCTTGCCTGTTCTCCTCACTGACTGTAATTGTGCACTGAAGGGAGTGGTTATTTTATTTAGGTCTATCTTCCCTCACCACCAGCGCTGGGCTTCTGGAGCGCAGGGACCATGTCTCCTCCAGGGGTCCCTGTCCATCTCCTCAGTGTCTCCTCAGTGTTTGACGCCCGGTAAACATGTGTGGAATGATGTTGCAGGACATGCGTGGCAGGAAAGACCAGGAGCCTGCTGCCTCCACTTCTTGAGTCCCAGAAGACAAGAAGTCTTTTAAAAAGGCCAGTTTGATGAAGTCATTTTCACATCGGTGTCTCGTCAAAGTGCAACACCACTCGGTTTTATTGCCAACTAACATGCACAGCTGACACGCTCAACGTTGTGCTGCCCACAATCCCCACCCTGGCTGTGAGGGACGCTCCCAGTCTGCTTGATCTCTGTTTTGTTTGAATTTTTATAAGGTGGATTATTTTTATAATCAGCAAAGGCCATAAAGAGAATGTTCGTAGTCTGTCAGAACTGGGTAAGACTCTAAGGTGACATTAATTCTGTCTCTAAAAATCAAAATTTGGAGGAAAGTGTAATGTATTTAATGGAGGTCCCTCATTGAACCTAGTTAAAGAAACGCTGGAAATTGAATTGAAGTTTTTCTGGGCATTCTAAAGTTAAGAAAAAGAGATAATGGTCTGGTTCAAATGTCCTCATTGTCTTCACACCCCTGATGCCGGCTGGCTGGGTCCAAGGACCCAGAAGAAGAGGTCCTGCAGAGCCGACCAAGAGGTGTCTTCGGTTTCACACAGGATGGAGAGCAAACATGAGCCAGGAGAAAGGGAAAGCAGAATTTGTTGAAAAGAGAGAGCAAATTTGGATGAACTCTAAGAGACTCAGAAAGCAAAGGAGGGAGTCTCTCCTTTACTTGGGGTCTGCGTTTTGTTGTTTGTTTGGTTTTTTTTTTTTTTTTTTTTTTTTGGCAACTGTGGTCTGGTGTATGGATCCTGTCAGAAATCCGGGACCTGGTTAAACAAGGACAGGGTCCAGGTGTCCTTCATAAGTCACTCATCCCCTGAAGCCAGGGCGCCAATGGAGGCACACGGTGGCTCTGCTCCATGGTTCCTTAGATATCGGCTCTTGTGCTAGAAGACTCAAAAGATATCTTCATCCCTTTGTCCCTTACAAAGGGACATATGGTGTTCACATTCCAAGGCTTGTGTACAGCGGGGCAGAGGTATAAGTCCTAGCTGGAATAGAAGCTAAAAAAGGAGCAAAGATAAAAAAAATAAAAATAAAAACAAACAAAAGGTCTTTTTTTTCATGGGGTCCCTTCAGTTTCCTTGTCTCATCACAGTGGGTTGTTAACTTTAAGGGATCCAGCAGAGGATTGGAGAGGTGGACCATGAAGAGACAAGTAACTTCTCAGAGAAGGGCACCCGCTTGCTGGTCTGATGGATGGCGCCTCCTAAGTAAGGTAAGTAGATGGAGGCCAAACAGGAGGCTGGTTCTATGGCCAGGCGGTGTCATCCTTCCTCCCCTCACTGTCTCCTTCCTCAACTTCTGCTTCACCCTGAGCCCCTTTCCCCACCCACTCACCGATACAGAAAGGAAGGCCAGCAGTGGTGTGAGATTTTTTTTTCACAGTACTGCTTGCTTTTTAAAACCCAAAGACTTAGTGGGTGTTTTGTTTGGCCAAGTCAAAGAATCCGCACATGAAATGACTGCACTTACCCAAGACCGTCCCTCCCCTCCCTCTCCCCTCCCTAGATTCTGGCTCCTTTCTGGCTTCTCACTGATGAGAATCTCTTTGATTTCTTGGTTATTAGAAAGAAACATCAGAGAGCTGTTCAAGAATCTGTGCTTTTGGTTGGGTCTGGAGAAGGCGAAGGGCTGTGTTGGCAGGAGCAGAGCCTTCAAAGATAGGACAGGACTTCCCCGCCCCGACTGTCAGGTGTTTGAGAGCCTGCTTCTGGAGAACCAACTTAAGACACCCAACTCACTGACTGCTCTGTACATGTGACCAAATAGTCCCCAGGTGTCACCCTTAACCCTCTGTTTCCTAGAAACAAGAATAGTCTCGTTGTAAAGGAAGTGGTACTTCACTGACACCTCCTTGGAATAGTAGTATTGAACCCTGTCCAAGTGCAAAGGCACCAGGTTTTATTGCCTAGTACCATGCTCAGCCAGCGTTCCTGACCTTGGTTCTGTCCATGACCTCTACCCTGATCTGGAGAGACTCCCACAGTCTCCTCTACCAGTCGATGTTTGGTTTGAATTTTTATGTGGTGCATTATTTAACCCACACCTAATTGGAATAGTATTAAACTCATTCTTGATTAATTCTCTCTGGAAAATCTCATCTTATTAAGTACTTAACAGAAGTTCAGCTTCATTACCGAAGCTGATCGGATTCTGTTATTTAATGCCTGAAAGGAGAACGAATGTCAGACACACCGACCCATTTTTCTGGTCAACCTCCTTTGACAACACAGTTATCCTAACTAAAGGCAGTCACATTTCTTAAAAGAACAGTCCTTTTAGCTTTTCTCTGATTATTAAGTATCTAAATGCCCCGCAGATCCTCAGAATACCTACAACAGTTTCTAGCGACACTTTAAAGTACTGGTTTCTCCACCCTAAGTGAGCAACGGATTCACCTGGGGCACATTGATTTCCAAGGGCTCCCAGGTCCCACTCCAGGCCAGTCAGTGGTGGTGTCCTGGTGGCCCATTTAAAGTTCTGCAGAGTCCACAGTCTGGGTAAATACCCAGTAGGTTCTCCTACTGGGTTTTTACCCCAAAGATACAGATGTAGTGAAAAGAAGGGCCATCTGTACCCCAATGTTCATAGCAGCAATGGCCACAGTCGCCAAACTGTGGAAAGAACCAAGATGCCCTTCAAGGGACAAATGGATAAAGAAGATGTGGTCCATATATGCAATGGAGTATTATGCCTCCATCAGAAAGGATGAATACCCAACTTTTATATCAACATGGACAGGACTGGAGATTACGCTGAGTGAAATAAGTCAAGCAGAGAGAGTCAGTTATCATATGGTTTCACTTACTTGAGGAGCATAAGGAATAACATGGAGGACATTGGGAGATGGAGAGAAGTGAGTTGGGGGAAATTGGAGGGGAAGACAAACCACGAGAGACTGTGGACTCTGAGAAACAAATGGAGGGTTTTGGAGGGGAGGGGAGTGGGGGGTTGGGTGAGCCTGGTGGTGGGTATTAAGGAGGGCATGTATTGCATGGAACACTGGGTGTGGTGCATAAACAATGAATTTTGGAACACTGAAAAGGAATAAGATAAAATGGAAAAAAAAAAAAAAAAGAAAGTATCTAAAAAAAAAAGTTCTGAAGCTGGTTTTCATGTGTAGCCAGGGGTGAGGACCACTGACTTAAGGGCATAGAGCCTCTAGGAGGCCATGAGCACCAGCTTCCCCAAGAGCCATGGCTCTGGACAATGCAGGAAGAGCTAACATGGTCCCTGGTGGCAGCCCCAGGTGACACTGCACACACCATAATAACAGCGTCACTACACGTGGGCTGCTCCGTGCCTTGCTCCCCTCTTCCCTCCTGCTTCACTCCCTGCACTCCAGCCAAGAGGCCCCCAGGAAGCCCCTTGTCAACCCACACTCTCATAAGAAAACATCTACCATGCAATAACCTTTTGTTCCCATAGCATCACAAAAAACTCTCTTCCCCAAGGAGATTTCAAATCAGGAATTTTATCTTCTCATTTGAAAATCTGGGCAGTAGAGCCTCATGCATTTTCATTCATTTCTCTCTTCCAATCTGGGTCATTTTTGCTCCTGGCTGAAACTTTCTCAGCCTTGGTGGGTGTGGCTGCCTTGATCCCTGGGGTGTAATTCTAGAGAAGGAGTTACTCATGTTCCCAGAAACAAAGAAATGTTAAAAAGAAAAGAAGAGGCAAGAAGAAAATAGAACCTAGAAGCTGTGACCTCAGTTTATGACTGGCCTCTGTTAAGCCTGGCCCTTAATGACGTTGGAGCCCCAGAGGACTTTTTTAAGCCTAATAATGCTCTCTCATAAAATGTTAAGAAACCACAGTGCGCTTTTAGAACTCCAAGCCAAAGGGTAACTAAATTTAATTAAGTAGGTACATGAACTCTAAGATGTTTGTATATATTGGTATTTACCTGCATTTTTCTGAGGGGACAGTCTCAAATTCTCAGATGCGTATGTGACCACATGAAGTTTGAGAATTAACGACTTGATGTCCAAAAACAGATGTATGACAGGAGGGACTTTGGTTGAAACTTCTATATACCCTGTGTCTTCCCCCTCACTCTGTTTTCTTACCTCTTCTTCTGCCACCACCCTTCACCATCTAGGGGCTTTTTAATGCCACCATATGTAAATTCCTGGTCTCAGAAGAGGGGAGCTGAGGCCACAGGGCTCCCAGAGGCCAAAGGTCAAGGAGACCAAGTGCCCCAGCACTCCAGGCCTGCAGTTTTTCAGAACAAAGATCTGGCGCAGGCTTTCAGATGGCCCGTGAGGTGACCAGCAGAAGTGATCCAAGACTCATGGACCTGCAGGCTAAGGGCTGGATTAGTGAGAGAGGTTGACCTCTCTTCTGCAAGTTTATGTGATGATTTTCCATGCATTCTTCAAAAGTCATGACCAAGTGGTCATCTGTCACTGTCAGCCTTCCTATGACATCAATGCAGACACACAAAGACACCCAGACTGAGGGAGAGAGAACTGCAGTCCCCACACGGCAAACATTTCTCTCCCTGCCCCCTCTGGTAAAGCCAATACTGGTCAGTACCTCTTCTTTGATGGGGTGGATATTAATAATGTTTCCCCACCAAGGGAGGAAACACAGGTCTCTGCAACTAAGTTCCATAAAGGGAACTGTATGTTTGGAGACATGGTGGACAGGGCACAGGGAGAGAGAACCAACATTTATTCACTACCTAGAATGGGCCAGGTGTGTGTTAGAGACTTTCCCCGTGTTATTGCCTGCAGGTCATGCTCAAACAAGGGAGCAATTCTGGCACAGAGTTACACTGTAGGGCTGGAAAAGTTCCCTACACCAAGGGACTTACTCCTGAAATGACCAGCATAAATCTTTCTATTTCTGTGAGAATGACTACCCATTTTGTCCCAGGACTTCACTCTTTATTCTTTTTTTAAAAGATTTTATTTATTGGGGTGCCTGGGTGGCTCAATAGGTTAAAGCCTCTGCCTTCGGCTTGGGTCATGATCCCAGGGTCTTGGGATCAAGCCCCACATAGGGCTCTCTGCTCGGCAGGGAGCCTGCTTCCCCCACTCTCTCTCTCTGTCTGCCTCTCTGCCTGCTTCTGATCTGTCAAATAAATAAATAAATAAAATCTTTTAAAAAAAAGATTTTATGTATTTATTTGAGAGAGAGAGAGAGAGAGAAAGAGCATGAACTGGGAGAAGGGCAGAAGGAGAAGACACCCCGCTGAGTGGGGAGCCTGATGAGGGGCCAACCGAGGACCCCGGGATCATGACCTGAGCTGGAGGCAGATGCTTAACTGACTGAGCCACCCAGGCACCCCTCACTCTTTCTCCTATAGCAGTGCCATCCAGTAGACTGTTCTGTGATGATGAGAATGTTCTGTATCCATACTGTCCAATATAATCACAACCATGAGCCACATGTGACTATTGAGCTCTTGAAATGCAGCTACACTGACTGAAGAACTGAATTAGACATCTTGTTTAGTTTTAATTCACTAAAATTTAAACATCCACATGTGGCTAATAGTTACCAGTATTGAATAGTGAGTTCTATAGTCACCCTGAGCTGTGGCCTGGCACGTGGTCACCTGAAATAAAGACTAAGTTTCACAGCCTCTTTTGCAGGCATATGATGAAATTCTGGCCAACGGATGTGAGGGAAAGTGACGTGGACAACTTCCAGGCTATGACCTCAAGGGAAGAGGCGTTCCCTTCACCCCCCCAATGCTTTCCACTTCTTCTTGCTGGCCGGAGATGGACAGAGCTGTGCACCATCTGGAACTAAGTGATGAAGACAACACCATAGGGGCTGCGGAGCAATAGGATAAAAGGAAGCTTTGTTCCCAAGAATGACTTCAGGTGGCAGTTCCCTACTTTCAGCTCAGACAAGTGCACGTGAGAGAAACTAAAATTCTATTTCATTTAAGCCACTGTAATTTTAGGTCACTGAGATTAAGCCACACCTATATCCTGTTCTAACCACTCTACTGCCCATGTCTCTCTTATAGAGATTGTGGGGAACAAATGTCCCAGCTATGATTTTGATCATGTGATTTCAAAGCTTCTGCCAGGTCTTTAAACAGCTGAAGGGCAGACCCCCAGAATGAGAGGCCTCTGCTTAGCAAAGCACTTTGGTGAGGGGGCAGATCTGCAAAAGTAGACCTGAACTTAGCAGGTTTAAGGAATAGAGAGCTAGAGGCTATGCATAAGGAGAAAGAATCAAGTTTGCAGGAAGACTGGCTTCTAGAGAGGGAAAGAGGGCCTGGAGAAGGGACAAGGAGAAACCTGAGAAAGTGGCATCAAGAAAGGCCTCAGAGATGATATGACCAGCAGGGTCCTGTTCTGTGCCATGACCTCCCCACTGTTCCAAGTACTACTGTACACCACGGCCACGTGTTGATGGGGCTCTGGAGAAAATGAAGGATTTAGAGCAGCATCAAGCATGAGACAAAGCAGTCCTAGGAGGCAAGACTGAGGCTTAGCTCGGGAGTGTAATAGGAAGCAAGAACTCTGAGCAAGAGGTGACTAGGACTCCAATAAGCACCTTGAGCATCCCCAGAGATATTATGGGAAGGAGCATGCTGGCTTCCACCATTCTGCCACTCTGCTTGAATGTTAGAGAAAAGTGTCACCCCAAGATGTCTCTATAGCCTGCAATATCCAGGCAGCTGAGATTGGTTTGCAGTTCCCTATAGTACCATCTTTCTCCTGGCCCACTCCCAAAGCCCTGACAGCCAAGATGGGAAGGGAAACAAATGTTTCCTTCTTGCTTTCTCTGCATTGGCCTGGATTACAGGAGATCTGCTCCTCTTAAATCTAGAGTACACAATCATTAGAAGAAGTGAGAAAATCTGTCATCGGTCAGAAGGCCAAGATGGAATAGTGGGCCAGGTGGTTGGAGACATAGGGAACAGGAGCTTGGGATGAGCTGGAACCCATAGCTGGACTGGCTCTTGAGGCAGAGCATGTAACATTTGCGGGAAGGTGTTTGCTGTCCTTACTGCTGAGAGTAACACTTGTGTTCAACATCCAAATATACTCTGTTTACACTTGCTCAAGTGATGGAGTTTTAGGGGCTGCCCCTGGGGCAATGGAAAGGGGACAGGCATTTCTATGGAAACCCTCTTAAATATGGTGCTATCCCATCTTTATTCAAGTTAGACATAGACTGAAGGTTGGGATCCACTAGGAAAAGAACATTTGGGAATAAGAATCACTGATGATTATTGAGCACCTTCTCAGTGCTAGTATTATGCTCCATTTGTATATTATTCACAGCAATTCTGTGATGCAACCTTTTTTTTTGCATATTAACAGATATGGAAACTGAGGCTGGGGAGATTAATAAATGGCACAAAGTCACAGAGCAAGTTAAGTGGTCTGGCAGGGGATTCCTTTTTTTTTCTTAAAAGATTTTATTTATTTATTTGACACAGAGAGAGTACAAGCAGGGGGAGTAGCAGGGAGAGGGAAAATGAGGCTTCCCGCTGAGCAGCCCCCCCCACCCCCCCCCGCAACATGGGATGACCTGAGCTGGAGGCAGATGCTTAAATGACTGAGCCACCCAGGCCCCCTGGATTTGTTTTTTGTTTTTTTTTTTAAATGATTTATTTATCTTTAGAGAGAGAGAGTGAGCAGAGAAGGGGGAGAGCTAGAGGCAGAGAGAGAGAGAGTGCGCACAAGAGAAGCAGACTCCCTGCTGAGCATGGAGCCCAACTCAGGGCTCCATCCCATGACCCTGATCATGACCTGAGCCAAAATCAAGAGTCTGAGGCTTAACCAACAGAACCACTCAGGCACCCCTGGCAGGGGATTTGAACCCAGGCCAGCTGCGATCAGGGTCCACACACTTGTCACTACCATTTCTTGCCTCTTTGTTCTGTAGGTGTTACACTCAGGCCCTGGTTACACACAACCCTTCAGAACCATGAGCACAAAACTTAGTGTAGAAGACTCTACCCTCGGATGGTAAATATCCTGGCTTAAAACTACACGGCTATTAAGCTACGGCCTGGTAGTTTTTGGTTTTGTTCCATACATCTCTTTATCAACTTAGTTACTAGCCACATCACAGAAACCATAAAAGCAGAATGTTTCCAACATGTTTCTGTGACTTGACATTTCTAGTAGTTTGATTCCAGGCAAATAAGAATTTTTTGTAATTTGAACAGTAAATGGTCATTTTCAACCCCAACTCAACTGAACAGATACATAGCTCACTCATTTTGTTATTTATTGCCTGCCAAACTAACAACACACAGTTTCACTAAACCTTGTATTTTGTAGGAAAATTATATTTCATTTGAAAATACATGTGTTGAAATTTTTTAGTTAAACCTTAATGAAGCTCATTTTAAAACACAAAGTGTCTGATTGAAGATTGTATGCATAGTATATTTCTTACACCCTTTTCTGTTGAGGTATAACTGACATATAACATTATACTAGTTTCAGGCAGACAGCGTAATGATTGAATATTTATATATGTTGTGAAATGGCCACCACAATAAATCTAGTTAACATCCATCAATATACATAGTTATCATTTTTTTCTTGTGATGAGAACTTTATGATCTACTCTCTTAGCAACTTCCAAATGTGTAAAACAATGTAACCATAGTTGCCATTGCTGTACATTATATCCCCATCATTTTATAATTGGAAGTTTGTATCTTGTGACCCCCTCCACCCATCTTGCCCATCCCTCTCACCCCCTGCCTCTGGCAACCACCTCTATGTCCATTCTTAGGACCTAGGGACCAGCTTCACAGCCAGCTTCACTCTTCCATTGCAAGACTATTCAAGTAAAATAATGCATTCAATGATTCGGGAAGAAGATGATTTCTTCCATTTTAAGGTAGTATCTCTTATCTTAGAATGAAGAACTGGAGGTTTATCTGATACTGACTTTGCCTGATCAAAAATACTTTATGTATTACGACATTAATTTTTAAAGGGGAAGCTCCAGGATTACCTTCCTATTACATTTTTAAAAAATCTATATTTCAAATAGAAGATGTATTTTCAGTTCTGTATTTTGGTGTATATTGAACCTGTATTACCCCATAGGTAGAAAGCAAGAAGAGGGTTTTTGGATTTTCTGTTACATGAACAGTTACATTGAATGTATAAGTGAGAAGATAGTCTTGAGCAGCTGTAAAACCACTGAATCTGATTTTCATTCTGTCAGACTGATGGTGATTTGGGAGTTCAACTTCATCCTAAAGAGGCTCAAACATGAGAAGAGTGTCACTGGCATGGAAAAGGACCTCCAAAGAGCTTCTTCCTGCGGGATTCAGAACCTGTACAGCATCTTCAGCTAGTCTCAGTGCTGCTGGTGAAATGTGTCTTCTCAGATAAAATAGGATCCCAAGAAATGACATTTACAGAGTGTGGGTCGAGCCAGTTTGGAGCAAGACTTCTCACAAATTCACTCTGCAGTCCTCCCTGCTGGCAGGGACCAAACTGTGAACGTTTTTAGCATGAAGAGCTGGCACATGGCTCTGACACACAACCCCCCCCAACCCCCTACCCCCGCCATGGTTTGAGCCTGTAGAGAACCAGGTAAGATGTTGTACAGTTTGCTTCTAATACCCATGTCCTCTTGACATTGTGAATTTTTGCACAAAATTACCTAGAAGGCATCACAAAATGCTCTTTACTTTAGGAAATCATTCCTGTAAGTGAAAAATCTAGAGCAATCATTGGAGAGATTGGGGGTTTCCTTTTCCAAAGTTTCTGGAGCCAACTTGAAGTTTCTTTCCACCCAGGGAAAAACTGCTATAACACTTAGGGGGAAAGAAGTAAAATTTGTTTGTTTTAAATGTGAGTCATGACAAACCTAGGGATTAGAAACTTAGAAAGAGGAAAACTTATCTGAACAAGGACAGTAGCCAAAAAATTCAGGGCAAAATTGGGGGGAAAAATCCTGTTGTTCCAAGACTTTTCAGACTTGCAAGTGTCTGGTGCTGTTGAAAGATACCTCACATCCAGCTAGTTACCCCACTGAGCTATGGGATGCCTCAAACACTCCTACATCTCTACAAAGCAGAACAATACATTATCTGGAAGAAGGGATATGCCAATCCAACATAACTGATTTTCCAACTATCAGAATCCCGAAAGTAGAGCCTAAGGTTGGGTAAGGCTAGAAATTGGGAACCCAGTGGAGAAGGGAAAAAAGATAAAAAAAATAGGTTCAGAGTAAAAGAAGGGACAGTGCCAGGCATGAAGGGTGGCCCCAGGTCGCCAAGGGAACCTGGGTGCCTAAGTTTTGGGACTAGGAGGTGGGATAGAACGAAAATCATCCCTGACTACCTCTCCATTAAATCCTTGTCAACTATGACACAGGTACACCTATTTTTTAAATCAGTTTTTCATAAACTGTTATGCAAGACTTGTCTTCAGTCATCACAAAGCCTGCAAACCTGGCTACGCCACACAGCGACATGACTCTTCCTGCAATGTCTACGCAGCTCTGTTTCCAGGGGAACTACCAATCACAGCCACTTCTGGATGGTTCACTTCCAAAGTACTCTGCCTACAGGAGCAGCGCGAGTGCCTGAAATCCACAGAGGTGGATGGCTCATTACAACCAGCAGCCCCAACCTGCTCTTAGACCTTGTCACTGCCTGGAACAGCTAACTAATATGGGAGCATTTCCCCTCCACCCGCCTGCTGCCACCTCCTGCCCTCTGGGAGGGGTGGGAGGTGGAAACGAAAAGGTCAGCACCTCTGAGTTGTCCTCAACCCACACAAGACACCCTGGAATCATCAAGAACCACCGGGGTTCCCCTAGATATTTTTCAGCATCCTCCCTTCATGCTCTGCTTTGCAGATCATTCAACATGCCCTGCGTCATGGATGATTTACCAGCTTTTTTACCAGTTACATTACTTCACAGTGGGTGGAAGCTTCCATTTGGCCTGTAGCCCTCCCAATCTTCAAAACAAGCCTATTTTCTACCATACGCCAGTTTTCAGGCGCCAGCCATCACGTTAATATACCTGAGCCCCAAATGACGTCCTTAAAATAGGGGAGCTCCAGATAGCTGTCCTGCCACATGGGCCTGTTTCTTGTCTAAATTAAAAACGTCCACATCTATTTTTTCCCCTCTTTCTGGGAAGATGACCTACACAAGTAAGGATGTGCTATAAATGTCTTTCAAGACTCAACTTGTAGGTTCTAATTATAATTAAGAGAATAATAATATTACTTTGCATTTCCCTGTGCCTTTCTTCCAAAGCGCTCGGAGCATTCTCAGCGGCGTGAGGACAGGTATTACAAGTTCGTTTGTGTCTACCTGCAGATTCTAATTATACCTTCTTTTGATTCTGGTTCTAAACTCATCTCCCTTCCCAGAGCCCGAGGCCCAAGGACGCATCACCCGGGCTCACTTTCCCGGGTGTCTGGCCTGCCCTCCCACCCC